ACTTTGCTGCCCTAGGTGATCTAGTTTTGCCTGGAGAGAGAGGTGGCTCTGTACATAGCTGACCCTTGCTGTGCGGAATATTACTCTCCTCCAAATATGGGCAAAGCAGGTACACCAAAAGGTCCGTCAGAAGGTAAGGAATAGGGTAACATAGACAGAACAACCAGGATCCACAGCTCGTGTGATGGAGGGGTGCAGCCTGCGGTCACCCTTTAAACAGAGGAGTTGCCCCTGTACTGCAGCAGAATATGGACTAACTGCTGTGGGGAAAACACAGTCCATGACTGACTCGAACCACTACGGCTGGGGAGTTTGAGCCCTAAAGCATCAAGCAGCAAGAACTGACCTTCTCACTTCAAGGCTGTGACTTCTGATGTTCAGATCTCCAAAGAGCATTTCTCTAACACTGCTGCAGAGACAGCAACAGTGGGACAAGAGGTTTGAGGGAGTTTGCTGCTGCAGCACCACCAGAAAGAGTCATTCAATTCTCTTCTCCATCACTCCCTACCTTGGTGGATGTGTTTTATTCCTGCTCCAGGGTGCTGCCTTTGATCCGGTAAAGCATTGAAACACCTGCTAAGCGTGCACATAAAGCCACCTGACTTCAGTTTGCCTGCTCATGTGCAAACCGAAGTAGGTGGTTAGCTCAGGGCTCCATGCTCTGATGTTTTCCCTTTTATTCTGTCAGGTTTATTCTTATTCTTATCAGGCTGCTGTTAGAGATTCTGACTCAGAACAACCATGAAGGCAAGTGAGTGGCTGCTCTGAGGACTAAGATTTTGCCAGGAAGAGCTACAACTGTTTGTTCCCGTGAACAGAGATCAAGCCAAATAAATATTGATTTAGCATTAAAGCCTGAGGCTGTAATAATGAGTGGTCCAGAAAGCTCACGCTACTGCTATGGGGAAGAGAATAGAGGCAAAACAAATTTGTTTCATGAATGCTTTAACTTTCATTTCAAAGTGACGCTTCTCAGCCCCATCTAGACCAACCTGATTCAGTCTGTGCTTGGTGGTGCAACTGAGAGAATCCAAACTATGAAAAAGCGTTTCTTCATGGATTTAATCCCAGGTTTACTTTTCTTAATGTTATTCCTAATCTGTCTTGCAGTAACTATAGTGATGAAGAAATGCATGCGACAAACAAGATGCCTGGCATCTCTGTAAGGCATGTTTTCATGCAATGGTCTTGTCAGAACTGAAAATGCCGCCAAATTTTCAGAGAAGGCAGTTGAAAGATCTCAGCCAAAGAAACTCAGATCTTTAAAAAATGTGTCCTATTACAAACAAGTTGATAATAAATTGAGTTTAATATCCACTCAGCTTTTGAAATCTTATATAACTTTTCAACTAGCAACATATATTGGGTTCCTCCTGCACCTTCAAAGAGATCCTTTTTCCAGGTGGAAGCACTTAAATCATGATTAAAGGACATGAAATGGATAGCTACAAATCAAATGACTTTCCTGAACTTGTGTGTACAGCTCTGGGTCATCCTGTCCCAGGGTAGCTCTACTGGTGGCATCCGGCAGGGTGACCCACAAACCCCAGGAGGCGCTACGTGAGCACAGCAGCCTGCCTAAACTGATGTCATGAATCTCACTCAACTGATCCAGCATCTTGGAGCCAGATCTGCTGATACTTGTGGCCAAAAGAAGTAGCATCAGTCAAAGGGCTGCCCCGGGGAGTGGGTCACTTTTTGTGAATTGTCCACATTAGCAGTGGCTGTTGTGTATAGTGTGGAGCCCATATAGTTAGGCAGAGATTCCAGCCTCATGCAGACCCAGAGGTACTTTCTGGTGATGGAAGGAAGCCAGCTAGACTCTGGAGCTGAGCGCTGGCAGTTGGCAAAATCTCTCTGCATTTTCAGAAGCAGGTCTGGTCAGAAATCCTCCCTGCAGCTATCAGTACTGAGCCTCAGGGCAAGATGTTTACAGGCACTTTTCAAAGAAGAAACTGCACAAAGCACTGCTGCTTGAAACCCTTGTTTAAAAAAAAAAATAAAACCACAGAATTAAGATCCAGATGTGGAAGACCTGCATACCTGAAGATGGAGTTGCTCAGATTCTGCTTTTATGCTCAGTCCATTATTGCAGTAGGTATTTTAAAAATTCAGATGATGAGTTGGATCCTGGTTTCCACCTCTGGCAAGACCAAAGGTTTCATGGGTTACAGGGCCAGATTTTCAGCTGCCAAAGCTCTAATAATGTCAAAGGAGCAGGGCTGACACTACAAGCAGAAAACGTGTTCCCAACAGTTTACTGGGCTCTGTTTCACTCATCCCATTTTCTTGCACAAAAAAAAACCCCATTGAAACTGGCTTTCAAAAGCCAGGAGACAGGGAAACACCTCGAAGTCTTGGTGGGGATCGAGGGAGATTAGCTCTACCTAGAGCGTTCAGAAAAAAAGTTGGGGGACATTGGGCGGCAGAGCAGTCCAGGAGGCGTCTGAAGGGAGAAGAGCGGGGTTGCGTGTGCGAGGGGGCACAGAGGCAGCCCCCGCCGGGGAGGGCAGCTCGGACACGGACCGTCCAGGCCGCACGCGGGAGCGACGGGCCCC